TTTATACAATTCATACCTTATTTTACTCAAATTTTACCCTAGCCATGGCTTCTAAGGCAGGTGCCAAGTGTCAGTAATAAAAAAATAAAAAAATACCACGAATATATTTGTTCAATTTAAGTTTCTAGCAGTGCGGTGCTTTAGAGACATGGGAGGTATTTAGTTGCTCAGAGGTGTATTGTTGAATTATTATTATGTGACCTCTTTTGGTGTGGAAAAACGGATAATCCAGAAAGGCCTTGGAACCAAGGGTTCCGGAAAATCGGTGGTGTACCTGTAGTTAGTTTAGTGTAAGATTAGCCAATTAACACGGTCACTTCAGAATTGTCGGGGTGTATGCATAAATCAGTATTCCTTCTAAATGACAGAGTCCTTGTAACTATACACTACTGAGGGACACAAAAGCAGCTGCCTATATATCAGTATTATCACACAAACAATTTTGAATAATAAGATTACAAATAATGTCTACACTCGACCTAGCCAATAATGTCAATGCTGCAGCTAGTAACTAGAAAGAAAAGCCACAAAGCTAAGTAATATGCAGAAACAAGCATAAGTTGTTGTTTTTTGGGTTTACCTGAGTCTTTTGTATCTGACATTTTAAAAAAGAAATGAGAAGACTCTCTGCTTGTTTTGCTGTAGTGCACATTAAAATGGCGCTGTTTCCACCTGAACCTGCAGAGACCTATGTAACCTATATAGACCTCAACACACACTACATATATGGCAAATATTTACCCAAAAATACCACAACAAACATTGGCGGAAAATACACACATATTATGATGACCTAACTATTACTAGCAGGGGTGGGTCAGGAGTGGGGGTAGTTTCCAGGCATCGAATTTGGCAATTTGCCTCTGACAGCAAGTAAGGCTGCTACTTGCTGTCAGAGGCTGTGCCCTCTCACAGCAAGTAGCAACACTCTGACAGCAAGTCTAGAAAACCGAATGCTTCGATTTTCTGTGAAAAATCACAAGTTATTCGGCTAAAAGATAATGATATTGATTAACATATATACAAATATTTCTTTATTATGGTATTAAATATGAATAAAACCAAGATCGTACAATTAATATTAAAGTTTTTGTCAATTTAAAATATTTACATGTAAAATACAACAAGTGCCGCAGAGCGACAGCGCTCATCTAACGTCTACTGCGGTGACTCTGTGGTGGAGTGGTGGGATTCTAGTAAACCCTGTTAGTCCCAAATGTGTTCACATACACGCCGAAACAGTGGAATGCACAGCAGGGTTCTCCCTACGTTGCGCCGCAAACGGGGCGCGCGCGCCCCGTTTGGGAAAACTCCCCCTGTTTGAATCGTTGCGCCCCGTTTGAATTACCTCCGCCCCGTTTAAATTCCACCACAATAAAAGTTTGCCAGCGCGGAATCGACGCGTCAGAATTGCCGTTCGACCAGGACACCCGACGCCGTGTATTTTTACCGTACCACGCATGTACTGCAGACAGTACACAAGTTAACCTGTCACTAACTGTACACCGACTCGGCTATCTATATATACAAGAACCCCAAATACCGTCTATGGTGTGGTGGCGATTTTACGCATAATTAGTCGTACGGTAAAAATACACGCCCCCCGGACCCCCTAGTTTTCCCTCCCCTCCCCCTGTTCCCCTCCCCCTCCCCTCCCCCTGTTTGAATTTCATCCTGCGGGAGAACCCTGCACAGGGATGGTATCAGGAACCTTCTCAAAAGAATGTTCGTTGGGATCGTTTATGAAAGTTGCCAGAGATGGCGCGTACGTTTAAGCGTTCTTCAAGATTAAAGATGGAAGCTCCCATCATACGTAGTAGCAACAACTATCTGCAAGACAGAATAGGTAAGCACTCATCCATTTACCACGCAAGCCTACAGGCTGGCAATAGAGAGCTGCCACCTGTAACCAATTAAGGCAAAAACTCCACAGTACCACAACACATGCACTGGCAGTAGCCACTGGCAGTGGCATACGTTACATGTAACATACTGACACTACAGAATGCCATATAAATTATACGATTTAAGGAGCATAAACCTTCTTTAACCAAATTTAGCTTTTTGAAATTTCACTGTGACCATTGAGGCCTCATACATCCAGGCATGTATAGATTCTACTAGCAAACCGGCAGTCAAATTCTTTCTAACAGACAGTCAACAAATCCATGTTTAACCCTCCTCTTGAGGGTCAAAAGGTTATTTGACACTTACTCTTCGCATGTCAGCAGAAAGTAGATTTCATGGTCCTTTCAATAATGCCATAAAAATGCTAGGTCACCGCTGAAACAAAAAAGTTTTTCAATCGCTCTGTCAGACCATGTCCTCAGAAAATGTCTAAAATCTGCCCTGTGCCCATTGCCCTTTGACCTGTGACCTCCAATTTCGGGC